CCACTGTGATTTTTGGTTCAAGCACAGTGAATAGGGTTCTTTTGCTCTTATAGCTTGGATGGCAGCACAGGTATTGCCTGGGACATACCTCCTGGCACAGCAGGAGTTACACCAACACTGCCCTGCCCACTGCCACACAGTGCCTGGAAGAACTGGGCTAACCATTGTGTCTGACACTTTCCTGAGCAGAAAGCTTATTTCAGCCAACGCAGCACTGAAAGACTATGACACAGAATTTCCTCCTGTGTTTTTCAGGTACTGCAGAATTCTGCCGTGCTCCCAGAAATCACACTTGGTATTTCTGTGAATCTCTGTCTTGCCCTTAAGGATGATCCTGGACCCAAACACTAAAAAACAAACCGAAGGGCTTCCATCCCTGCAGTTTTCATCTGTAGAACTGATGCTTCTTTATGAAGGTGTCAATGTCTTTGTACAGCACAAGCTAGTGGACAGAGCTGATGTGGCTTGTCCACATGAGTCAGCAGCATGGGCCAGCTTCCTAACCTGTGCTGGTTCTCACACAGCTCTGAACAAGAATATATTGCAAGTCTGGCAGCTGTATCAAGGATTTGAGTGGTGGCTGCCTTAAGTGGTGAGATTTCTAGTTTGATCTGAAAAGCCTACCACTAAGCCAAGTTAGAACAACAGGAAACTCATCCACCCTCCCTTCCCCACCCCCTTTTTTCTGTTCCTCTGCTGCAGAAACTTTCTGATGTTCAGAGCAGAGGCTCTTGGGGGTTAAATGCACCATTAGTCACTGGAAAAAAGGGAAAAAAAGACCCTTTAAAAGCAGATGGTGGGTGATAGAGAACCTGTCTGAGAGTAAATATCTGCAACAGCATGTCTGCTTCATCAGATATTAGCATCAAAAGCTGTCTGACAATTTAGCAACAAACAGCAGTATTGATTTTCTTCCAAACTGCAGATACAGGGAGACAAAGATGGAGAGGTGGCTCTTTCATAGGTTCCCCATCATGCCTGGGCATTAACGAGGCAGGACTGCCAGACAGTAAAGTACCTGCAACACCCAATCCTGTCCTGTGGTACCAGAAGCCTGTATGTTAGCGGTTATTAAGGGATACTTGAGATAGTTTAGATCCAGGCTTGTCAGGAGTGTGTGCAGAATGGAGTGTTACCATCCCAGGGATGAAGAATTGGGACTGGGGCCAGGGCCAGGCTCTTTCCACCAGGGAACAAATGGGAAACAGTATAAAGTCATGGAGCTGGGATGGAGTGTGGAAAAGTCCTGGGATGCAGTTTTTCATTGCTGTTTTCAGCTAATACGTGAATTAATTGCTGCAAAGGATCTGAACAGCAATAGCTCCACTCTACCTCTTCCTTGTTCAGACACTGCAGCCATCCTAACTTTTCAGGGTACTGGCAAAGCCATTTTAGCACCTTGCCAACCTGGGAAAATTCTACCTGAGAACTAAGGCTGCTGTTTTCTCCTTTATTCTCTGTCCCATTAACTTCTTTCTTACAGGTTGGTAAAGCCTCCTTGTGGTCAGCAATCAGATCTGGGAACCATTTACTGATGACAAGTGTTTGGTATATCGAGTCCTTTGCAGAACAGCTTCGTGTTTCTGATTTAAATTCACTGCAACTAGTGGTCTCCCATCAATTACACACACTTCTCCTTGTCTCTCTGCCTGAAATGTCAGTGAATCTGGCAATTTTTGCTCACAGAGAAAGTGGGGAAGTAACAAGGATCTCTGGCACAGCCTGCAGTGATTGTATATGCTGAGGCATTAGCAGAACAGCAAGGAAACAGAGGCACTGAAACTTGCTGAAGTTCAATCCCCTGCACAAAATCTTGTATTCAGAGGCACAGTGCTTAAACAGGCACCAGGGCGCATCAGGAGAGTGCTGAGGAAAGGCTACACAAGGCAATCTGTGACTGTGGTCATAGTGTGGACATACAGAATCTTCAGAAAAGAAATAAACATGGTAAGAAATAAAGAATAAATCATAATGAAACTGATTTATTCCTGACATAAATGGCCACAATTAAGTTACCTTTCAGTTCTGTCTAAATATGCACCAGAAGGAACTAAGCCTGATAACCACTCTGACCTAGATGGAGTTCTTTATAGCAGCATTACTGTATTGTTAAAATAATGTTTTAAGAGCCAATTTTTGGTTGTTGCCTTCATTTTTTCACCCTAAAGAAAGCCAGTGGGGTAAACGTCTATTAAATGAATGTGAAAAACTGATGCCTGCTTTCAAGTACGCATTTATAAATATAACATCAAATCCAGTGCTTACAACAGCTTCTCTCCCAAACAGCCCTGCCTTCCAAGCGCTGCCTGCCCTGCTGCAGTAATGATCTTTCTCTGACCAGCCACAAACAGTCAAGCAGTCTTCCGAAGACAACCTCGTGCTGGTGAGATTTAGCTTTGTCATAGTGGAGTGTTTGCATTTACTTCACCATATCCTGGTGCTGAGCTGATTTGCTCATTATCAGATTGCTGTTTATTAATCAAAGCAGTAACAATGGGACAGAGGAGCTGGAATACAGCACAGACAGTGCTTCATTTGTTCCAATTGATTTTCCTATCACATTTTATTACTACTATTTGCTTTGTATGCCTTAGGAGGATTGAACTGCACTGTGCAATAGGGGTACATATTTGAATTCCTTTCCTTTTTAGCTTCTGCTGTTTCTGTTATGATAGTCAGAACAGTTGGTTCTTCCAGCAACTAAGCCATGACCTTCTCTGCTTTGAAATAGGGTATGGAGATTTTGTGATAATGAGACTCCACTAGTGTCTGAAGTCCTGCAGGTGGAGTCCTAGGGAAATCCATAAGGTTCATGGATACTGAGCACATCTGGAAATGAGACCTTCAAGATGACATCTTACAGCTTCTCAGCACTGACCAGAACCACTGCTGTAGCTAAAGCAGCAAGAAAGTATAATGTAAGAGCTTGCAGTTAGACACATACACACTGCTCAGGCCTGGCTCATCAGGTGGATTCTGGATGAGGATGTCTTGCAGTAAAATTAATAGAGGTGATGATGTTTTTTCCTTCTTCTTCCTAACTCTTTTCTAATGTCTTAGATCACTGTTCCCAAGCTGGATCTTGAAAACTTCAGCCAGCACATCTAAAATGTAGAAAGCCGGAGAAGGACTTTTTACAAGGGCCCGTACTGATAGGACAAGGGGGAATGGCTTTAAACTGACAGAGGGGAGACTGAGATTAGATATTAGGAAGAAACTCTTCCCTGTGAGGGTGCTGAGGCGCTGGCACAGGGTGCCCAGAGAAGCTGTGGCTGCCCCATCCCTGGCAGTGTTCAAGGCCAGGCTGGATGGGGCTTGGAGCAACCTGCTCTAGTGGAAGGAGTATCTGCCCATGGCAGGGAGTTGGAACTGGATGAGCTTTATGGTCCCTTCCAACCCAAACCATTCCATGATTCTGTGGTCAGAAAAGAGCAGAATATTACTGTCAGGAGGTATGTGGGGGTTTATGGAAGTGGACACATGGGTCAACAAAAAGACAAAGGATTGCACATGCTGTAAGACTGCATTAATCATCTTCTTTCCGTAAACAAGACTCACTGAGAACCAAAAGCAACTTAAAAACTGCCTGAAGAAACTATCAAAATCTGTGGCGAAGCTCCTCTTTTCAGCATAGCTAGGATTTCACTCCAGAGATTTATAAGCAGTTCAACAATATTTACTCTGATATCATCCCATTCAGTGAGTACAACAGGAAACCGATGGTTAGCTGCAACTGTAGGTGTGAGATGCAGTTGCGTGGGGAGGTGATAAGAATATGTTTTTTAGCAAAGCTTTGTTTTCTACTTTAATTTTATAACTAGCCTAATTCAGGAATGAGGAGGCAGCAAGCAGGTGACAGCATTGTCATTAATAAAGTTCAAACCAGAAACCACAAATAGTCAGCTGAGCTGAAAGTTTCCATCAGCTCTTCACTGTTACTGGAAATATGAGAGTTCCTCACACAGGAATTTCTTTCTTATCACATTTTATTTTGCTGAGATGCTGCTCTGGAACTTAAGCACAATGTGTGAGTGTGCCCCACACACCCAAATGAGTCTGTACAGAGATGTGCCACACGACATCAGATTTACTAGCAGAAGCTTTTGGGGTTTGGAGCTGAGTTTCAGTACCCTGACCGCCTCCTGAAGTACATACAATGTACTTGTCAGCTGTCGAAGTGTCCAAGCAATACGACTTGGAGCTTGTCTGAGGGTTCTCTATTCTCTAGCAGCTGATGACCTTCAGCAGCACCAAATAATTATTTTCTCGCTGGGTTTACCCAGCAGGGGTAATTGAATGATTGTAAAATAGGACACTAGGCCACGAGGGGTTAAGTGAAAACTAAAATAATGCCATCTGCAGGAACGCTTTTTTGCTCACCCTTGAGGGCACCATCAGATAAAGGGTTAGGAAATATCAGCCCAGGACTTTTAACATCACAAATGGGTTTCTGCAGGCACCGCTTGTGAGCGATGGGAGGGGGTGAGGAGAAAGGGAAGAGAATACCTGTGGTGAGTTTAACCTAGGCTAAATTCAGATGCCTGGATAACATTCGCTTGAGCAATATTGATCAGAGTGGAAACATTTAAGTGTCTTTGTTAATCTGGCACTGTTTCCTTCATGATTGTTATTAGAACCTATGATTTACTGTGTCCAGCCTGGATCAAACTCAGCAGCTGTATTTCACCAGATGATTTTTTCACCCTTTCCTACTTGAAGAGCCTTTATGGCAGCAGCAGGTTTGCAGCTCTTTAAAAGAATAATATCTCCCTCCAGTGGTGACATGATACAGCTTCGGTTTACAAAATCAATTAGGCCATGTGAGTCCGAGTAAATGAGGTGCATGACAGTACACTTTGATGTGAAATAACTTTGTGACACACAGAAGAAGAGAACGACCCTTCATTATTAGCCACCTATGTTTATAATGTTTCTCCCAGTCAAACTGCTCTGTCTCCTTGAAAATCCTCTCTTGTACAGCAAAACTCATTTTAATACTATTCGGATTAAAAAAATAGTTTAATATATGCAAATACCACTGAATTTCCACTCAATTTGCATGTTCTACTGTTTGAATAGTGATCATTTCTAGCTGCTGATTCCCGAGTTGTACAATAAAATACTGGGTTGAGTCCCATCACCCTGCGGCACGAGGTAATACAGTGCTTTAGACCTTCTGTAGGAAAGAAAGCTCTTTAGATTAAGCTGTTTTCAGTTCAGAAGAGACATACTCAAGCCCTGGTCACCGTGTAACGGAACACCATATGATACAAGTGCACTGAGGTGAAGAGATACTGATTTACCTTCCATAAAGTAAATGTAAAGTCAAAAGGCCAGGCATTTTCCAGCACCTCTCCAGTTCTCCGCCTGATTTGTGTGGCCTTTGCTTTGCACCCCAAGTCCCAGACCTTCCATGCCTCTCTGATCATCTCTGAGTTGCAGATTCATATTACAAGTTGTGAAACTTGTGCAGTCTATGCTGTGAGTACTCTCTTGCTCATCCATTTTGTGTTCCCTACTCAAGTTCTCTGTTTTCCCCATTTCTTTCCTCACATTTCCATATCTGAGATGAACTTTATAAACCACTTTTCTTAACCTCCCTATGCGTTACTCTGGTCCCAGTAGAAACAGTGCAATATTAAAATGGATATTAAAATAGCAAGGGAAACAGCAAGGAACATTATTCTATTTAAAGGAGTATTTAGTGCTAATTATGCTTTTTCTTTCAATAGTGAATAACCACTCAGTGGTGAAACTGGAAGACTTGCTCAGAAAGGGCTCCATGTGATTATTTGATTATAATATGTCAGTGGTGCTTGTAGTTACCATTCTGCTGATTTCATGCCAAAACAATGGGCTGTGCTGGCTTCAGATTCAGCTGAGCTGTTCCCCTTCTTCTGAGTAGCCTAAATGGATTGAAGAAAACATATTTGAGCATTTTCTTTGACTTCTCTCATCATCAGAACTGTGATACACAGTCACTTTATTCAGCACTCATGGTATCACAACTGTTTGCTAAAACATCAGTATATTTTTGAAGATAACATTTTATCTTGCCTCTTCTAGGAGAATACATTCTCCTTCCATTTACTTTGGGTTTCTGGTTGTACTCTTGCCCTGTCACCCACAAATATTCATTGTATGTTTCTTCTTCCTCCTCTTCCAGACAAGGTTATAAATTAAAATTCAATTTCATTAAAATCATAAGCAATCATTCTCTGGCTCTCATTAGTAATGATTCGGTGCAGGGGGATCTCGGCTGCTCCCACAACTGTAATTCAATTGGACTTACCAGCTCTTGTTCACAAATCGCTTGAGCTGCACTTTCTTCACAAATTTATGGCATCAGCACTGTCCAGAGGTTGAATTACAGCTGCAGGTTTGATCAGGGACTGCATTATTCTGCATCTAATCCCTGCATTCTGACAGCAGCGGGGGGAGCACTGTTGTTTTACAGGAACCGTGCATTGTTCTTCTGCTTTATGTCAGGGGCTGAATTGCCTTTGAAATCAGGGAACTGTCAGACCAAAGCTACAAGCGAACAACAGGCTCAAAATGACACGGTGTATAAATAACAAACATGGAGACAGTCAAAAGGCAGCACTCCTTCTTCTGCACTCGCCTAAATTACTGCAATGGGGATTGACCACAGCCTGTACTCTTGCATCATCTGACGCTATCTGAATGTACTGATGCTCTGAATATATTGCTGAAATGTGACTCCCAGCTTTTCCTCAAAATGAGGACTTTAATATTCACTGGTGGCAGAAAGTCACTTAAACATTGATTAAATATTTCAGCCAGAAGCCATATTCATGCATTCATTTCCACACAAGCCTTTCCTCTTGAGCAGTGACCTGCAGCCTGTGGCATTCTTGGCAGAAAGGGTACATCAGCAGATCGGGAATGGCATGCAGCAGGACCTTTTTCCACAGAGGTAATATGTTACCCATCAGCTCGCAGGAATTTGCTTCCTGCAAGGCAATACACCCCTAACCCTACTTGTACCCATAGTTTAAACCCAGTAGATAACAGAAGCCTTTATCCCTCCCAGAAACACATTATTGTCAGTCAGCTGGCTGAAACAGGGAGTCAGCTCTCAGCTTGGAATTGATCTTCATTAGGACTAGCAACGTACCCGCCCCAGGCACAATTAACCTCAGCTTAGGACAGGGAAGAAAAATGGTGCATTGCCTTCGAAAGGTTCTCTTGCTTTAACATATCCATATGGATGTGCTCCACCAGCACAGAGCAGATCCATTGCTGGGCTGTGTCAGTATCTACTACTCATTTAATTGAACTTTACTGTTAAATCATTAATGGAAATCACTGAACATGGGGCAATAAGGTAGCTTCACCACCATTCTGCTTTTTGTGGCTTCTGCTAATCTTCTTATGCAGTTCTGCTCATTTTAAAAGCAGAATCTGTCATATTCTAGTTTTGCACAGATCCTGGGAGGCAAGTTACAAGAGACGTAGAGCAATTCCTATTGACTTTAATGAGGGTTGTGTTTTTTTAAACACTGCTTGGAAAACTAAGGTCCTTTTATTTTCTTCTGCAACTTTGCCTTTTTTACATGCTTTGTTGATGGAAAGACCCTGACGTGAGGCAGGGTATGGGAAATGTCTGCTTTCATGTAACAACTCAGATGAACAGCATTTGGCACTGGATGGCAGCTTTCAGCTGAGCTGTCTGAATCACCTGTTGTGTGCAGTCCCCTGTGGCTGCAGCTTCCTCACGCAGGATCCTCAGTCACTTGTTTCCCAGGTGTGTTCCAGTGTGTTCTCAGTGTGTTTTAGTTCTTTCATTTGCTCATTTTTTATCCCTTTGCAAACTGAAATATTCCATACCCTCCCCCCCATTTCTAATTAACTCCCTGCCACCCTACTTGTGCTAAAACCTGATTTATTTCTCCTTCTCTGCACTGAGAGGACAGGATACTTAATCTCCTCTGGGTGGACGCTGAAACACTGTCTGAATAAAATGCTGATCACTCATCTCATTAGTTCCTGCCAGCTCTTCTCTGCATTCCTGCCACCTGTGTTTTGCATCGTTTGCCACCCTTTCTTTAAATGACAGAGTCCCTTCCTTCGCCATTTTTGGAGACTAATCATTCCTACGTTAGCTAGTAGCAACGTCTATTTATCATATTATTTATCATATTATCTGGAAGACAATGAATATCACAGGCTAGAAAGGATTTTTTGGATAAAGAGTTTGAAAGGGTATGAAGCCTATGACTAGAATTTACTGTACTTGCTGCTCTTTTGGGGCATTTCTTTGTGGAGAGGGACCTGCTTTTTGTATTAATGTCCACTTAGTAGCTGCAGAGGAATAAAGGATTGGGATCCTCCCCCATCCAGAGAGCAATGAAAAAGCATGTTGTAGAAACAAACAAATACAGCAGCCCAAATGAATTAGCATTTTGAAAGCCTCTGTGTTTGATACCCATCTGCAAAGTAAAGAATGAATATGAGATGTGTGTGGATGCGTGCATACATGTTTGCAGTGGCAAGCTCTTTCAGATGGCAAACACTCGCTGTAAGTGCCAGTATTTTTGCACATCTTGAAAATGTTTGTGTAAAAACAGAAAGAGAAAAGATTGCCCATCTGCAATGTGTGGTGGAAAATTATGTGGGCAGAATGTGCATGTGCAAAGCGAAGGGAAGCAGGTGAAGGAGGTGAAGAATCATGATTTTCCTTCCTCATGCTGAAGCCCTGAGAGATGCATTTAGTGACATGGCTAATAGCATGCTTTACAGAGAGATCCATTCTGCCTCACTTTTGAAACTAACCTGGGCTGAGAAACTTAACAATGAATTCAGCCAAGGGCTTGGAAGCCTGGCTTGCCAGGCCATTAATGGTCTCAAGCAAATACTTTGCACTCTGTTTTATTTATTCATCCTAAAGTGTAGGTGTTAAGAAATATGAGGCTGGTAAGTGGGTGACAGGCATCGGCAAGCATCACTTCAGCAATTCAGGGTAGGAGAGAGCCTTGAAGTAGGATTGTAAAAATTGCATCATTTGTAACCTTTACAGCACCAGCCTTTTTTTTTTTTTTTAAGAAAAAAACCTCTGTAACCAACAGCTTTCATTTGGACATGAAGAGAATAACTAAAGAGAACATCTGTTTTCCCTTTAGATGTGGAACTGCAATAGCAAGCCATGCATAAATTTTGTTAAGGCTTGCTAATTTCCTATGAGTTTGGGGAGCTACATGTTACCCGTAGAGATATTTGGCTCTGCATCACCAGATGAAAAGTCATTTTAAAAACAGTGCACAGAAAAATGGACATAACTTGGCAGCAAATGTGTTCTGTTCTGTTCTCATGGAGCTCCACTTTTTTTGGCTTTGCTTTAGCACTTTATAGATTTGTGCCTTTTTTTTTTTTTCCCCTCTTAATTTCACTCATCTTGTTTTCCAATGGCTTTTTACGACATAGATGACTAACCAAAACAGGCACCTGAATTGGCAAAACTGCTTACTGCTGTGAGGCTTTGTACTCAAAATCAGAGGTCCAAACACTTTCAGGACTTACGTCTGGTTTTAAGTTGTATCTGAGATGCCAGACTTTTTGTTTATGCCAAGGACATGTATTTGAGCCAGCATGTGCCTGTTCTGTCCCTTTGTGCTCTAGGAATACATCTTCAGATTTAGAACTTGGAAGCAGGGACTGTTGAGACATAGTCCCATTCAGATCCCAGTTTCTGTGCCCTTTGAGCAGAACCTCATTTTCTGACCTTTCTATACTCTCTGAATCAATGTACACTGTCCCTGAGTATAATCACAAGAACATCACAGTAAGAACTTAGAGCTGCAGAACACTTTGCAGGACATGCCTTGAATTACTTTCAGGCTGTGTGAAAAATAGGCTTGTTTTCTCTCAATAATTAATTGTTTGGGGATTAATATGAGGTTTTGTTGTTTTGAAAGTAAACTAATCCACTCATTGGCTGGTGTGTAATGAATGAGAACAGGCTACTGTTAAGCAGTCTGAAAATAGTGAAAATTAACTCCACAAAGTGTCACAACTCACGTATTTTATGTATGTGAGTAATGTATCTTCTGTGGGACAGAAAATGAAAATATCACATGGAAAAGAAAAACATGATGGCTATAAATTTAACAGAAGAAGTAGACATGCTTTGGAGATGACCTCTGTCATCTTGACCCAGAGGCATTCGACAGTTTTCACAGTTGCTACAGTTGACTTTCATATATTCAGGGTTCTCCTTAACATAGAGTATGACTTCTTCTGCTTTTCTGGGTCACCGGGGTCTAAGGTGCCCCGTTCTCTATAGTGTCCACCACAGGAGCGTGGTTCTAACCCCATCTATCTGTGTCTCAGCCCTAATACCTTGCAGCCTTTTCACTGTTTCCTGCAACTTGTCCACCTGACACAACAGATCACCAACCTGCGCACATGTTTTGCAGGTAGTTACCTTTCCTCCAGGAGAAGGGTCCGGGCACTCCTTGCCAAGATACTGTCTGTCCTTCCTTAGCAGTTCCATCTGGATGGAAGCATCAGACATCTCAGGGGCTTTCTCTGTAAGAAACACTGGTTTTAACTCTGAGACAAGTACCCACCATTATGGCAAAGATCTAGAACACTTCCCTGGGCTGTGGGGGAATATAATCAAACAATTATCATTTGAAAGCACTGTTTGTTATTCATTTCTCTTCCAGTCTTGTCATTAAAAGGCTGCTCATGGTTCTCTAATTCTTTGTCTGGACATAGTTTTTAATGTCCTGATGTCAATAGAAGCTCAAGTTTAGGCATATCTGGATTAAAAAAAAGGACACATATCCCAAACAACTCTATAGTAAAGCAATATTTAAAAGCACAAAGCATACACTGAGATACAAATTCACCAGTAAGTGGATTTTTGCTTGAGGGATGCCTAAATACTTCAGTGTTCTTTGGCTTCATGGGAGTTGAGACTACAATCATTTAAAAAAATCTAAATCTCTGAGAAAGAGCATATTACAATACAGATCATAAAGTCTTGCAGAAAACATCTAGCCAAGGTCTCAGTACCTACAGCAAAAAGCTAATATATTAGTACTGGAAGGTTCCAGTATGCTTAATTATGTTACTAGGAAATAGTTGATCTATTTATTTGAACTATTCTTGTTTCATTCCTCCACAGGAGAACATTATTCATCTGTCTCTCTTCATGTTTTCATTCTGCTATGGGGAGTGTGCAGAGAGAAGGTAATAGAAAAAGCCATATAAAACCTCTGAGAATGCAATAAGCAGAACATGGCACTTTTAACATGACAAAACTACCAGCTTAGGTAAGGGCTTGAAGTGCCTATAAACTCCAGCACCTCCTGAGGCAAAGAGAGTCAGAGTCGCAACAACAGAGAAGCAGCACAAGGAGTTTAGATCATAAATGTTCTTCAGATCTACAAGCTTTGCTAGCTGAATGCACAACGAGCAATTCAAGGGCCCCAACATCTTTAAGTCAGCCTAAGCCAGGAGTGCATCTGCCCTGTAGTAACAGGAGTTTAATATTTTGACTCAGTTTGCTCACCTAGCACAGTGGTCAGAAAGGACAAGGTGGGTGACGTATCAACTCGGATGATTCCATCGGTGCATTTCTTGCTGTTGTCTTAAGACTGCCAGGTTCTTGTCTAAACGCTGAAGTTTAAATTACATTAGTGCTCTGATACTGCTACATGGTGCTGTACTGCGAGGTGGTGAGCATATCCTTCTTGTTATTTATTTGCTTCCCAGTTTCACTGAGCAAAATATTCTTCCCGGCAGTGACAATGTCTGGTGGCATACAGGAAAACAAAAGCCATGTCCCAGGTGTGGGCAAGCATTCAGCTTTGTAATACAGCATTCATTACTTGCATTCTCAGCTGCACTTCCTCCACATGGTGCCTTCTCTGATAGTGTTGATAATATGCTTTCAGAGGACAGAATACAGTCTTTTAAGCTCTGGGTCTCAGTGGACTGGGTAATAAATGTGCCATCATCCAGGTGGGAGGTTGGGAAGACTTTGGGATTAGCCAACTATGAGCTTTGAGACACTGAAATGATCGCTCTGCATCCTTTCAAAGAATAAATCCATATATCCATATATCTTCTCTATGCTTAACCCGGGTAGAAACAAGTGGAGCTTATAGAAAGAACCAAGGTCAGGCAGCTCAACTCTCACATACTCCTGTGGCCAGCATTCATCAGTGAGGCCACATCCTCTTCTCACCTTTCTGTAAGCAGAAAATGGGAGTTACTGACTGGACCTCAGTATCAGTGTTTTTCCATAACTACCTCTTCATTTACCAGAGCTGCCCAGATGTCATTCCCATCTGCAATGAGGTCTTCATGTACCACCAGCTTTACCAGCTGCCATACAGCTTTTCAGCTTTAATCTTCTGCTGTCTGTTTTCAGGGCTAGGGCCTCAGAAGTTCGTGCTCCAGCCTTTCCCTGAAGAGCTCCCTGTCTTTCTGCTCATAATTCAGTTGTTCTGTAGGCAACAAAGGGAGATGGAAATAATGTTGCCCTCATTGCCTCTGTCTTTCTGAGCTCCAGTCCTTTGTTTTCTTCCATCTTTTAGTCTCTCCCTCCCTCTCTATTTGTGGAAGATGAAGGCAGGAGAAATAGAAGTAGCTGTAGAAGTATTTCTTCATCTCAGCAGAAAGAGGAGTTATAGGAAGAAACATAGATGGGGAAAAAAGAAAACAGAGTAAAAACAGAAAAAGATAAAGCTGGAAACCTGAGAAAGTAAGAGAAGGAATAGAAAAAAGTTGGTATTGTTTTGTATCGGTATAAATTGTTTTAATTGCAGTCTAAACCCAAAGAAGAGAGATGAACTGGAAATCTTGAAGAACAGAACTGGGCAGATGATAAGGAAAAGGAGAAAGGGAAGGCATTGGGACTGAGTAGAAGCCAAGCTTTTATTGGGGTGCTTACACCAATTGCTTACACCCAGAACATGTGCAGAAACATCAACAGGGATCACGACAACCATTTGTGGGGTTCTGCCATATCCCTCAGCAGAGCAGCAGAAGCCATCTGGCTGCAGATTCACAGTAGCAAACAAAAAGAGGAACCACAGTGCTGCATGGAAAAGAGGGAAGGGAGGACCTTTTCCTTTTGACAACTTGATGTGAGCTGTTGAAAGCTGCTTTCATGGATGACTGCATAGAGGACTAAGGATGTCTGGCAACTGGTTTGTTTGATTAGTTTATTGTATACCTTAATTTCACCCTCACTTACAGATGAAGCAGGCCTATTGCAGAAGCTGGATTGCACTGTGAATTCTCTGCCAAAGGCCGTAAGAACCTCAGAAGTCTTAAGAGGACCTGAAGTAGGGCACAGAAAAAGCTAGTGGGGCAGGAGCAACTGAGCTAATCAGCTAATGCCAGCCTGGCCACTTCACAGTTACACACGGGCTGATTTCGAGGCAGTTAGGCATCTGCGGAGTGCAGCAAGAGTCTTGAGTGCTCAGCTGTTGTGAAAATCAGGCCTTCAGAGCTGCATAGGGGGCTTGGGGTTGATTTGTCTTCATCGCACTGCCTGACCGGCTTCTTGTGGGGCAATGATGACATCCAGTGGGAAAAGTCGTGAATTACAACGCTATTTTATATGTGGAGCGAGCTGCTGCCAGCTCTCACTACAGTCGAAGGATATCCTGGCACTTTCTCAGGAAGGGTTCTGTGCTGTAGTGAATGGCTCATGACCAAGGGTCTTGTGCTGTTCTCCTCCTGACTTCTGCAGTACCTGAAGGTGTTTCTAGGTGTCCATCCTTGCTAAGGAGAAAAGGACTCACTTGAGAAAGTGTTGACAACAGCATTCCAGTGTGATTAATACACCGGATTCTCACAAAGGTTTTGTTTAACTGCTTTTGTGTTTGTTCCAAATCTGTGACTTACCAGTCTCTTGGGACATCTTAAAGCTTTGTAACATCTTTAACTTTGTATGAAATCCCTCTGATTTGAGGAGTTTCCTTCAGCTCTCTGTATTTTTTTCACTTGCCCCACTATTTGGTACAGTCCTGGAGTAGAGTAACTTGCCCAAATCTTAAACTGGATTAGATGGTTATGGTGTAAATAATTGGAAGAACAGGCAAAGGAAGTAATGCAGAAAGGACAAAATAATCTCGTAGAACAGAGGATGTGCGTGTCTTTAAGGATTGCATTTTGCAGCCAGAAGGTGTGGGATCCCAGCCACTGCCAGGCGATCACATACCAGCTGCTTCTGAAAATGCTTTCTTTTTTTCTCCTCCAGTACCTAATCAGTAGAGTAAGGGAATTTTCTTTTAGGTGTGTACTTTGATACTTTAATCCCTGCCTCATCATCAGCCCAGTACTAGATTGCTTCAATATGCTGTACAAGGAATTACACCTGTCATCAATCAAGAAATGAAATTTCTCACAGAATCACAGAGTAGTTTGGATTGGAAGGGTCCTTAAAGCTCATCCAGTTCCAGCCCCCTGCCATGTGCAGAGACACCTTCCACTAGAGCAGCTTGCTCCAAGCCCCATCCAGCCTGGCCTTGAACATTGCCGGGGATGGGGCACCCACAGCTTGTCTGTGTAGTAAAGTACATAGTAAAGTACATCTAGTAAAATACATTCTCACAGTAAATAATTTCTTCCTAATATCTCATCTAAATGACCCTTCTCTGTCAGTTTAGCGCCATTCCCCTTTGTCCTGTCCCTACATGCCCTTGTCCAAAGCTCTTCTCTAGATTTCTTGTAGCCCATTTAGGCACCGGGAGCTGTGCTGAGGTCTCCCTGGAGCATTCTCTTCTCCAGGCTGAACAAACCCAGCTCTCTCTGCCTGTCTTCAGAGCAGAGCTTATCCACCCAGAAAACCCCAGTACGAGCTGCGGTGTGTTCTGTGGCAGGCATAGCCCGGTGCTGTGTGTGTGCCAGCGGCACTAGCACCTCACCGGGAGCAACTCCCGAGCCCGCTGAGTCACAGTACTTGCATGACTGTTACAACTGCACCACTCAGCTGTGCGCTAGCCCCCGCTGGTCGGCTGTGCCCCAGCACGTTATCAACACCGGTCCCCGTTACCACGGCTCTGCCCGTTACAGGCCAAGCCCCCTTCCCCTCAGCGCCCGCCTCACGCCAACGGCCTGGGACGCGACTTGACGCCACGACCCGCACGGCGGGCCCGCCTTCTACCACATCGAGGTCCCGCCCCCTGCCGGACCGCCTCGGTCCGGACCCTGCCTCCCGCCTCTGATTGGTGCTTGCACCACCTCCCGCGAGGAAGCTCCGCCCCCGTCCCCACCCATGCGCCGGCCCTCCCGGCGCTGCTCTCCCTGCCTCGCCTTGAGCCTGATGCTCACTTGCTCCCGCCCCACATGGCGGCTTCTCCGATCAGAAGCGGGAGCCATTGATTGACACTCCTGTAATCCAATGAGATGCAGCATTAGCGGGGCGGGACCGCCGACCTGGCACCTCCCTCCGGAGGCAGCGGCGGCGCTCCCTGACTGAGGGGGCTGGGGGCTACGCGTCCCCGCTCCCCGCTCCGCCTCAGCGGTACGGGAGGCGGCCGCTGGCTGAACCCGGGCCGAGGGGCTCGGAGGGGTCTTTCCGCCGTTCACCGACCCCTCGAACGGACCGGCGGTGCACCCTCCCCGGGCAGGGCCTGCGGGCCGCGCCCCGCAGCCGCTACCCCTCCCCCCGACCGGCCGGCCTCCCGGGGCCGCGCCTGCTTCCACTCCCTGCGCAGCGTCGGCAGCCGAGCCGGGAGAAGGGGAATGGGCGGTCCCGGCCCTTAGCCCCCGGCTGTGGCGGCTGCTCCGCCTCCCGGGTCCCAGCTTCTCGGTGGCCTCCGCCCGATGCTGGCGGAGCTGGCTGGGGTCTCCGCGGCGTTGTGAGCGCTCCTGCCGTCGCGCAGCCGCCATGTCCGGCGTGGTGCGCACCCTGAGCCGCTGCCTGCTGCCGGCCGAGGCCACGGGCCGCGCCGGGGAGCAGCCGCGGCGGGAGGGCAAGGAGCGGAGTCGCGATGCAGAGCGGGAGGCGAGGCGGCGGAGCAGGGAGATCGACGCGATGCTGGCCCGGGAGAGGCGGGCCGTGCGCCGCCTCGTCAAGATTCTGCTGCTGGGCGCCGGCGAGAGCGGCAAGTCCACCTTCCTCAAGCAGATGCGGATCATCCACGGCCGCGAGTTCGACCAGAAGGCGCTGCTGGAGTTCCGGGCCACCATCTACGAGAACATCCTCAAGGTGAGGGGCGGGAGGGGGCCCGGGGCGGGGGGAGCGGTGGCTCCAGCCGTCTTCTGTCGGGGATGAAGGCCGGCGTCGGTACATCCCGCAGCTTTTGGGCGTTTGGGCCGTGCCCAGAATCAAAGTCGGAAAAGGATGAGCTCGGCCGGGGCGACGGCGGCCGCTCCCCCGCCTCTCACGGGTGCACCCGCTCTCCGGGCAGGGGGTTTCTGCGGTGCAGGTGTCTTGAAGGCGTGTACCTTTTATGCGATGGCCTGGCGGGCTGCGAGGGGCGAGACCGAGTGTTTTATCCGTCAGAAGGCCTCGTTTGTGCAAAGGCTTAAAGGAAACTTCCCTGCAAAAGGGATTGAGAAAAGCTTTGTGGAAACGTAGAGGAAAGAGGATATAGGTGTGGCCTGCTCTCTGGAAAAAACATTATGAGAGCATCCTCGAAGTCAGAATTGAAGAAACTTCCAAAATTTGAAGAAATGATGAGGAATTCTCGTGTCTCTGCTAAGTGCTCTGAGTCTGTGTACCTCGAGATGGGACAAGCAGGTCGTTATGGAGGTGTTGTAGCTGTTAGTGGTTGTTACTCAGTACATCTTCAGAAATGGCTTTAAACTGAAAGAGGGTGGATTTATATTAGATACTAGGAAGAAATTCTTCCCTGTAAGGGTGCTGAGGCACTGGCACAGGATGCCCACAGAAGCTGAGGGTGCCCCATCACTGGCAGTCTTCAAGGCCAGGTTGGACAGGGCTTGGAGCAACCTGGTCTAGTGGAAAGTGGCCCTGCCCATGGCATGAGGTTGGAACTGGGTGAGCTTTACTGTCTCTTCCACCTCTAACCATTCTGTGAAATGGAGAAGCATAGGCCCTTGGGAGTCTGGGCATTGTGGGATGTTACCAAGCATTGTGCTGAAATGAAAATAACTTTGTTTTGGTACCTTAGAAAATAAGTTTTTGTTCAACGTGTGTGAAGGCTTTATAGTGCTGTAATGTATTTGCCTAGTGACTGGAGAATATGAAGGCTACAGGTAGAGCCTTTAGTCTACAGACAGCTAAGAAAATAAGCCTTGACATTTACTGTTTATTTCTGGGAAGCAAGGTTTGATGCCCTGTGCAGATAGAAGTGATCATGTTTCAAAAAATACATAAGAGTGCATAAAAATCTCACTGAAGAATATATCTCTCTTCATATTTTTTCTCTAAAAGAACTGCTCCTTTTCTGCCTGTATTTTTCTGTAGGACTGTCTTTATTCTTAGGTGGGTGTGGATTTGTAAGACTGAGATTTTTGGATAAAATTAAAGGAAAGGGAATCATGCAAGTGAAGAATCACAAGAGTTACTTCTAAATTTTCAGATTTGTTTCTAAATAGAAGCTTTATATGTACTTAAAAAGTGCATGCATACAGTGACTCTTATTTTTAAGAATGTTGCTATTCTATGGAGGGCTTTTGCTTCTGTTAGTGAGCAGGAAAATTGTTGGCTAATTTTCCTTTCATTCTTTTTCATCCATTTTCAGGATTACAGGAGCCCATTAACTACAAGAAAGTTGAAGCTTGGCAGCTTCTCTTTATTTGTAGTTATGTGAGCAAGGAGAGTGTTAGGAGGCTTTCTCATCTATACACCTAGAAGTAAAGAGTTGGATTTTAGAGGTCTTTTGGTAGTGCCAGTGATTTATTCGTTACTGCTACTGGTTCAAAGTAGTAGCAGAGGCTTTTAAGGAAGCCCTTTGTGACAACAGGAAAAATCTGAGACTTTTTTTCTCCTTGAGTTGTGTAAGTAATACTAGTTATGTTAGAATTTAATATTTTATGTATGCAGAAAGTCTAGAGCTTTCAGCAGTAGAGCTTGGTGTGCTTTGAAAGAAAAGTGTCTCCATCTTGTAGTAGGGCAGGCTGTTATGCACTTGAAACACTTGTCTGCTGGATGGCTTTGGGCAGTTGAAGACCTTAGGGTAGAATCCAGGTCCTCAAGGTAGCGTGCTAGTCTGATTTCAAGACTGGTAGTTAATGACACTTCTTGGACTGTTGTCAGCTGAACATCTTTTTAAGCCTCCCAATTATCAAACTAGAATTTGTAAGTGTTTTTGTATGAGTTAATTTGCTTCAACAGGTTGTGCTTTTGGCCTTGCAGGCTGTGATTGGGGAGCATTAAGTTAGGCTACCCTTTTAGCCAGGGCAGCATCTCTTAGCCTCTGCCTTCTGTTTCTGCAGTTGGCAGAAGTGGCTCTTGAATATAAGAATACAAGTTACTCTTCACCCATAGGTTTGGGGGAATGGCTTGGGGGTGGTCACTATGGAAAGAGAAGGCATAAGAGAGTGCAAACAAAGGGAAGTAAATGAGTTTTCTGGTGGGATGGAGGTCTGAGACTGGAGGGTGGGGAGAAGGCATTAGATACTCTGTTTACTTTGTGCTCATCTGAAAAAAAACACTCACAACACCTGGATATTCTGCCATAATTGTCAGGGAGAAATCAAATACCAAGACAGAATTATAGGGCTTTCAAAACATAGTGATGTTGTCAATGCATTTATTTTAGGGTAATTGAGCAATACTTTCTTGTGTTCAATTTTTTTCTGTGGATAACCATGAAATGTTTCAAGTAAACTTGTTCTGCTTCTTTGATGTAAATTGTCAAGTGACTCTGATTGCTATTCTTTCTATAACAGTGTTTAAATTACTTATTCTTTTCACTTTTTCAGAAGGTTCAGGCTAGAATCATCACTCATTAGGACTAAATGGAGCAGAGATCACCATGTGTCTGACTTACCAGAAAATATATAACATGAGTTCTTATGCTACGTGGACTGTGTGAAAATGATCCTATCAAATAGCATATGAATCTGTTTGATGTTAAGTACAGCTGCAGCAACCTTGGCCCCTTTTTCCATACGGTTCTCAGCATGGTCAAACAATGGTTCTGTTAAGCTTCTGCAACACTGAGATCTGAGTTAGAAATGCAGTGTAAATCTCTGGGATTAAATGGTCAATTTTCATTTTCCAGCCATGACTAAACTTCTCACTGAAGGAGGAGGTTTCCTATTCTCTCAGCAGTGCTTGATATTTCTGAAGTGCTTATTGCAGTAGTATTTAGGCAGTCTGTACAGCTTATGGAGAAAAAGGAAACTGATTCAGAGAACAATCAAACCTTTTAAAATAACATTGCTCAAGTATTCATTGACATTAGCGTCAGCTTCCATTTTATCCGGAGTTTTCAGCTTCTTGCTTTTCTGATATCTTCCCAGTGCTGAGTTCTCTCCTCACCCTGTTCTTGCTGTTTCTCATCTCCCACTTTGGGGAAACCCTAGTTAGAAACAAAATGCTGAAACGAAATAAATCTGTGATACAGAATTTACTTTTCCATTTAGTACAGGTGATGGTTCAGGGCCTTGCTAGCTTTTTCTGGTACTTGTGGGATGGTCTTCAAATACATTAGTTTTGCTTTGGTTTAAGGTAAATAGTCATCGGTTAACTAGGGTTTTGCTTGTTAATCAGGGCTAAGTTTCAAAGTTACTTTCTGAAACTTTCAGATGACTGAAGTGAAAAGCAGTAGTGTTAATGTTCTGGTATGAGTACACAGGCTTCGTAACTTTAGCACACCCACCTGGAAAAGGAAAGTGGATAGGACAGGGCTAGCTGCTGCAGCATGAATTTTAAGGTGACTCTTGGGTTTTCAGGGAAGCTTGGAAAACTCTCTGTATCTTTAGTTTCAAATCTTTGAAATATCTTATTGCATTACATGAGCATTTTGACGCCTTCCAACTGCAGCTGAAGAAATCTTTTGATACCTTCCAAAACAGATAGGTTGGCCTTGCTACTTCCTTTGATAACAGTTAAAGGTCTTAGATACTCGATGAATCATGGCTCTGATGTTCCTTGTCTAAATGTTATTTTGTTTCAAGTACGAGAATGTCATGCTGCTTGAAAAAACCTGATTCAGCTGCATGAGAAAATAATCGACAAGCACAAGAGTGGTTCTTGCACCAGCTTGTTTGGGAGATTTCAATCTGGAAAGAGGGAAAAAATCAGATTTTAAAAGCCTAAAGTATAATCTGTTGAGGTTTCTGTTAATGTTAGTTCCAGTGTTGAAAATGAGAAAGCCACCTGAAGGTTTCAGTACATCCGAGTGTGTTCTTGTTGTCTGTGGTGACTGACTGAGGATGTACTTCTGAGGAAATGTCATGTAACTTTGCTTGAGGGCTCTGAGTTTGGGGGAGAAAACCAAAGATTTTGAACATGAAGATTCCCTTAGGGTATATCTTTGGGACTTTTGAGTGCAGTTGTAGTACACATGGGTGTATATGAGAGTTTCTTCTTATCGGCTTGTATCCGAGTGACTACTGCCACTCAGAGTGGACAAAATGAGTAGCTCGTGCTGAAGCCCATTTTAAGATGAGCTTTGTACTTCTGCAGCCAATGCTAAGCCCAGACACCTGCTGTTTCGTTGCTGCAGGTACTCTGTATACCTTGAATAGGCTTATGTTGTGTTCATGGTCTCCGACTATAAGGTAGGTGTACTTTGTGTCACTGAAAACCAAAACAAGAAAACCTGCAACTTGTAGGCTTCAGTCAGGTGCAGATAGGAACTCTTGAGAAGTGGGGAAGAATATTCCTCAGTTTAGTTGGGAGCTACACTTTAAGTGACCAAATTACCTACTCATTTGTAATGCAAGCATATTTCTTCTAACAGCGCAAAGGTGAAGGGGGCATAGAATACATCTTCCCATTATGTTAACTCTAGTTACTCCTTAAATTGACTTGACTCCACATTCCCTTGGGTTTACATGCAGATGAGCCTGTTAGGAGGGGAGGATAGTGACACTCAATCTGTTGCTTCAAAGCTGGGGTCTAGCTCTAATTGAGTAGTTAGTCACAGGACAGTGTCAATCTCATTTCTGCTGGGACACCTTCTTCTGAAAGGAATAACAGAGTACATGGTAAAGACTGTGGCTAATTAGGAGCTTTTCCATTAAATTTAACATACAAGCGCTGAAGTTGTGTGATAGAACCTGTATTTA